ATGAGATGAAGAGAAAGGGGTTTTTCTGTACTATAAACTTTGTTGTTGCATGTAATTATTGAACAAGCATTTCTGTAGCCTGAGGAGATGTGCTGCAAATAACCTCTATTTTTCATTTTCTTGCAAATGTTTTGTCCTGCCGTGGACGGAAAAGGGAAGGCATTACTTGCATATCAGTTTGATAGCCAGCAGACTACAGGGCGTTTCCTGGTGCTGGCTCTGTAAGAGCAACAAGGTGTTTAATGTTTGGCTTAAAAATTACTAAAATCAGAAGCTATTTCACAGCAATGATGGGTTTGATAGAAGCCCTAAAAAGACCAGTCATTACTGTGCATCAGCACAGATTTGTGACAGGTTTCCAGTTGACTGCTGCTGGTGGGATCAGCCTATTTCTCTCTTCTCCTTCTCTGTCCCTGTCATACCTGGCTGAGCTGCACGCGGAAGCAAGAGCTTTCCTGCGCCTTGGTTTTGGGGTGGGTTAGGAGCTACGCTGTCGCTTGTCCAGCACAGCCCAGAAAGGTGCAGTCCTTGTTTTACAGTGCCTGGGAGGGCAGCGCTCGCAGTGAAGGTGGGAGAAGTTTGCTAGTACAGCTACTGCAGGATTAGGTTCTGCTAACTTCACTTTGTGCAGCATTCTGTGCTTTAAATCAAAGCAATGGTACTTAATGCGACTTTTCTCTATTTAATTATAGCAGCCATATCAGTATGCATAATGGGCTGCTAATATATTACTCCAGTGGACAGTAGTATTGCTAGCGTACAAAAGGTGCTGACTCAGATCTGTCCACTGTCCTTGATTTGGCATCCTTATCTTTCCACAGTCTAGTGTTTTATGTCACTAAAGGCTTTGATTTAAGATACAGCACCGTCATAAAAGAGATGACAGTAACAGCTGAGCTCTCTGTTAAAATACTGTGCATTATTTATTTCAAACTATTTGGGTATATAACCATTTTCCTGGAATTTTATTACCTTTTATTGGAGGCCATTTCAGGATTTTATTACTTTTCTCTCTGATTTTGTTTATGTGTCAGAGACTTGAAAATAAGGGAATTGCTTGGTTGTCATCTCCAGTGAGCTTTTTAGAAGATGTTGCTGAGTTTACGACTCTCTGCTCCAGAACAGGAGGAAGAATGGACTAGTGGTAGGGCTCGGGACCGGGACTGATTTTCTCGTTCTCCCCCTCCTGCACGTGTGGCTTTGGGCAAATCACTTGTCCTCTCTGCACCTTGCGTCTTCAGCAGTAAGGTGAAGGTAGTAGCACTTCCCTGTCACGCTGGAGATGTGAAGGACTGGGGCTCAGAAACTGTTGAAGTGGAGACCAATACAGTATTTGCCACTCAAATAGGGGGGTGAATCCGGAGCCTCGGTGGCAGTGATCGGGCTGAGAAAACTGCTGTGCTGGCAGGAGGAGGTGCCAGTATTTAAGTAAATGACGGGAGGTTCAGGCAAGCTGGAAATCCAGTGCCGTTAGCAAAACGGGGCTTACGCTGTCTCTAGCGGGTGTGGGTTTAAGTAGATAATCCCATTTTTATGTGACATCTTTCAAATGTTCTAGAACATTATGCCACAAATCTGTACTGAAAATAGGTATTTCAGCTTGCAATTTCCTGTTGCACTGTGATGGAGCTGACCCTGTATTACCAGCATTATTCTTTCTTCAAGTTAAGAGGGGAAATATTCCCCCTTGGCCTTCAGGGTTAGGACACTTTGCGTCATATAATGATGTTTACTTATTCTTCCTTATGCCCCACCTGTAATTTATAATTGGTAAAATATAGGCCTTTCCCACAGGGTGATGCAAGTTAGTGAGGCATAGCTTTTGACAGGAGCAGAGGGGAATTCCCTCCTTGCTGAAGAAATTTGGCTGGCTTGGCCCATGTACATGTGTGTGGTTAGAACAGATCCCAGCTGTCCCTTAACGTGAGTGAATCTGTTCTTACTATTACTCATAGGGAGGCCTCAGATGTGATTCACCTCGAGAGATTTATGATCTGGTGAGACTATTTGCCTGGAAACCCCCCTGCTGTATGAATACATATTTAACTGATTGACTAAGAACACTTTCCCCACCACTACCGGGCAGGGGAGAAGATCAGTTGTGGCATAATGTGTAAGGGGCAACCTGGAGAATCTCAAGGTTTTTCACAGTATGGACCAGCAGCTGAAATGGTGTACGACGGCACTGACACATACATCTCTGAACCCTGGCCGTCTCTCCAAGCGCTCTGCTGAATGTTGTGACCTCCAGCCCCCAGGTGGATGCTTTATACCCGGGTTTCTAAGCTTCCCTTTTGGCCACAAATGGAGATGCTTGCAGACGCTTCCCATTCAGAGTTGCCTGGATCATCTCTTTGATTCATGACTGTATAATGTCTTCAGGCGACTTTGCATGGAAAAGCGATACTAGGGAAGTATTTAATGCGTTCTAGCTGTCTTTTTTTAATGCAGCTGATGAACTGTAAATGAGGAGAGCTAAGCATCGAGTGACCAGTCAGCCCCCTGGAGACCATCAGTAATTATTTTGTGGAAGCAGAGTGAGGACCTCTGACTTGAAATAATACTGTGGGCTCTTGTCTTTCTGCTGGCTATGGAGAAAAACAGCTTTTGAGGCCCTCCATTGAAATAGCAGGAGTGCTGAATCCTTCACAAAATGTTTTCTTTCCCAGTATTTGTCTTGAACTTGTGTTGACATATTTAGCTAAAAATCCCTTCCTTCCGCTGTCAGGCTCCAGTGTCCTCTGATGTTAGGTGCCTCTTAGTTTTTTCATGCCTTGCCGAGTCTTACAGCAAGAAGAGGGAAGTCAAGACCTTTGTTTTCTTTTTTCCAACAAAAAAATTGCAGCTATTTTTAACGTATCTTAAAATAGCAAACAGACCACAAGTGCGCTTTTCTTTCTCTTGGTGGATCAAATTTAACTACTGTTCCTTGATTCACGTTGCTATCGATGTTACTATCAGAGTTTCCCAACACTGGAAGAGTCTTTGCCAAATCTAAAGAGGGAAAACGGCTGTCTTGCTTTGATCATGTCGGTGAACAATTAATATTAAAAAAAGATGAGATTTTTTTTATCTGACTTGTTGGCTAATTTTTGCAGGCTATATATTGAACTAACGATTTCCAGACAGGCTTGTTCCATATGGATAACGAATTTGCATTTTTATTTCCATGTTTCTGTGTTTGTTTGTTTTTTTTAAAACAAGCAGTCCATTCTGTATCTGAGAGCTGGAGAAAACACTTACAGTAGAATGTGAATCATGAGTGATTTGTAGGACTTAACTCTTCATGCTCCTTTTCCCCATTTCTCCATGAAACAGTCTTTTTTTTTTTTTTTTTTTTTTTTAAACTAAGATGTTCTTATCTGAATGGATCGCTATCTAGGAGACAGTCAGCTGTACAGAAAATTAATTTCAGTTACAGTCACTCAAATGCTCTGTAACACTTTAAATAAAAACATAGCGTGACTAATAAATATCTCTCAACCTGAGCATGCTCTCTTTAAAGCTTGATTAATGATTCCATCCTCAGCATAAAATCCCCACCCTGTTAAGGTGAAGAATTGTTCGTTGATTTAAGCACTTCACCTGCCTGAACACTTGAGCGTATATCATAAAAATTTGATGAATGCCGTCTGGTTTTGCTTGGCTACAGCCAACAGCCTTTCCTTGCCTCTAAAACAAAGTGGGTGTGTTTGCTGCCTCGGGTGCGTTTAAACCTCCCGTCCTTGCTGGGTTTCCTCTGCGCGGGGCTGTGCCTGCATTGGGGAGACTTGCCGGGACAACCGCAGTCGAGGGGATTATTGCATCTGGACCACCAGCTCCAGGCTGGTCTCTGACGTGGGACTGCGCGTTAGCCGGCAACCTGCATTGGAGGGAGTTATTTGTGGGCGATTAGAAGAATGCCATTCTACAAACGGCTCCTGCGATGTTTCATTATCCCTGCGGGATATTTAAGCCCTTTCCTTAAGAAAGGGAGTGTAGAGAGAATCCGTGCGTTGTGTATATCCATTCCCTTTCACAGTCGTATTTTTGTTTCAGTTAGATTCGTTTTACCAATCAGACCCGCACGCAGCGGGCTTTATTTACTACGAAAATGGGGCACTGATAACCTCCAGACCTGGAGAGTCCTGACCCAGAGTCATTGCCCGTTCCAGACAGGGACAGAGGCATGTTAGTTATACATTTTCTGCGCTAACTTTCAAGAAAATCTCACTGTGACCGAGATCTCAGTGTTATAGTTGGTGCTGTTCTTGAGGGCCCTCGTTAGCGCGGGACTCGCCGTAGCAATGTGGTTGTGCCCTTGGAGCCCCATGCAGTGGTAGACTCTCTGAATCCTCTGGTCCTCTTTTGTGGCTGAGCTGGTTATAGAGATGTAGCTGCTAGACTGAAATGAAAGAAATGGCTTTGTGTTTGTCAAACCAGTACAGCGTTCTGCAGAAACCTGTCCAATTCCCACTAGCACGAAATCCATGTGTAAAGATATAAGGACTCTTTCACACAGGTGGGTTTGGAGAGGGCTTCTCAGTTTTGACCTTTCTGAGCTAGAGTTGAGCCCCAACAGTTATGTGCAGCAGTGTGTGCACTCCCTTCGTGTATCTCATCCTCTCTCCTTCAGTGGTGTTTATTTCCCATCTCGACTTAGGTGTATCCATTAATACTGGCTCGTTTCCTCACTTCCTTGCATTGTTTCCCTTATTTTTCCCTTTCCACGTTTTAATTTGTGGCCTGCTTCCAACAGACTGGTTCATCTCGGGTGTTTCTGCTCAGGCCTTGACTCGTCTCTCTCATTTAGCGCTTCCTACGCAGCCAGATGCCTTGGAGCAAGATCAGACACTGTTTGGCATTCCTTGACTCTGCATTTGTTCCCTTGCCTTTCACAGGCCCTTGAAAATAGTTAAGCAAAGTCTTGTTTGAGCGATGTGCGAAAGCAGGTGAATTTCACCCTTCGTGAATAGCCATCTCTGTAGAAACCCTAATCAACAGAATTTTTCTTGAACTTGATGGAGGATGAGGCATTTGACTGGGTAATAAACATAACATTGAGTGAGAAATCACTCGCTGGTTATCCCTGTTGGGTATGCATGCAAAAGAAATGAGCTGCATATCTAAATTGCTTCCCTTGCATCACACAAAGCAAGCACTAGGATGCAGAGGTGCTAATAACGGTGAGAGACAGCTAAAATGAGGGTAAAAAGGAGTTGAGTTTGGCCTGTCAGTTCCCTCAAAAAACTTTCATCTGGCATAAGAATAAAGTTATCCAGAAACCATTAGAGCCCAGTATTTCCTTATGCAAGTTCCCTTCCCTTTCGTTTGTTCTAACACAAAGCAATTTAATTTCTTTAGGTCAAATTTGGAACCTGTAACACTCCGAAGCCAAGCTTCTTCGATTTTGAGGGAAAGCAGAAATGGTAAGAGGAAATCCTTGTAATTCCTAGCAATTTATGGCTCAATATTTTTTTGCGTCATCTCCTACGTTAATAATTGCAAACCTGACTAAAGGATGTCAATTCTGAGAATCTGCCACTGAAACGGTTTTGAAAACTTTTATTTAATACAGAAACGTTGTCACAAAAACGTAGTTCTTCCAGCGTGGTTAGAGGTACCTTGGTGTCGTCTGGGTTCAGGCCTGGGATGTGAGAGAGAGGCAATCAGATCGGGGTTTTCAACCTGAGTCGCTTGCTGCTCTGCCCAGTGCAGGCACAAAATATCAGACTCTTACATTTACCTCGTTCATCCAGAATTGTCTGCGTACAATGAAAATGTTGTGAAAATAACTACAGCTTTACAGAACGACTTGGCTTTGTGAACGCAAAATACGTTCTGGCCTCGATTGGGATCCCCTGAAAGGTTCTTTTATGGCAGAGCATTGGGCTGACAGTAGCCATTCGTGGCTTGACTGAGATGTCAACCCTTTCAAACTGGATGAGAGATGGCAACATCCCTGAAAACGTGTTGATGAACCTGATCGCTGTGTGCCACTGGTAACCGCATAAAAACACATTGTATTGTCTTTGAGTGACTAACTGATAATTATGCTTTTTCTCCTAGGGAAGCCTGGAAAGCTCTGGGAGACTCCAGTCCTCGTCAAGCTATGCAGGAGTACATTGCCACAGTGAAAAAACTGGACCCCAGTTGGAATCCTCCGGTAGGAAACCTGAAATTACTGTTTAAAAAACAGCTAGTATTTGTGTCTCTGTAAAACTGACAAGGGTTCAGCTTCACACAGATTTTAATTGCTGCATAGGAAACTTCATTTTGAGTGGATTAAAGTCTAAATTCATTTTTAAAATTCCCCTTTTGTTATGGTTGAAGTATGAAGGACCATCTTTTTCATTTGTAATTATCTGCATTACAATGAGTGCATGCGCAGGGTTGATTTGGCTATAGTGATCTAATTTATTTTGCTTTTATCAGTTCATGCTGTATTTAGCATGTAAAGATACTTCTTATCCTTTTCTCATCTTTCTCTTTTCAACTTCTACTTAAATGTTGATCAATACAAAGTAATCTTCATAAAAGTAACATGAACTGAATGATCAATTCTGAAAATCTTTTCTTTTTGTTTTGATGCAGCAAATTACCAAATCTGATTATGGTTACGGACTCCAACATAACAATCACATTTGTAGGTCCTGCATGTGTGTGTTATAGGGAGAGCGTGCTGTCAGTTTAATTAATGTCTTTCATCTACCAGGTTTGTTACTCTAGTGAATGTTTAAGGTATCTCTCTGTTTATATACCAATTTTATACAATTTTTTAAGAGGATGGCTCTTTAGAAAAATATTTCCCTTAATTGGAGGTAGAGTGGAGATACTGTACTAATAGCAAAATGTTCAAGGCATGCTACTTCCTTTTTTACAATAGGAGGTTGATTGTTGTGTTGGTCCTGCACCTTGGAAGCAAAATCTTGTCTGAGCGCAAGCCTTTGAATCAAGAACTTGATTCTCAGTTGCCCTCTGATGCTGTCCTGGGGTCTTAGAGTGATTGTTTCTTCATTAGTTCGTAATGCATGGGGTTGCTGCTGTTTTTGCAGCAAAAAGGTTTTATCAGAGAAAACTGTTTTAATACCCTTAAGGAAAAATAGCTTTGTATGTTGTACAGTGCAGTTAGCAGAAGTTAAGCCCATGCAGTGTAAATTCTTGTCCAGTTAAAATGCTCATGTAATATGGAAACATTATCAGAAATATAATGATTTAAAAAGCATCCGGGCAAGATCCTGAATGAGCAAAGTAACTAGCAGCATAAGCTGAAATATCTTGAATATTCACAAAACAGTGATGAAAAGTACTTTCCTGAGCCTTTTATGGGTAGAGCTTCTGTTTATAACAAGATACTTTCCCATGCCTGGTGACAAGTGTAGCTTTGGGTGCTCTTTTCAGCTTCTTGCTTCAGAGAAGTATTTATTTTTACAGGTGTTATCCTCAGGTTACAAAGCTATTGTCTAGGAAAGTGGAATAAACTTTTTTTTAATAATGAAGCCATGTAGCAGGCAGAGGGTGGTTTGCGGTGCGGCTCCTCCCGCCTCTCGCTATGGTGAAGAATGAACGTGCATGTTTGTGTCTTCCCGTCGCTGCCTTTTTGCAGGAGCCCGTCCCCGGGACTGGACAGAAAGCAGGCTGTGCTGGAAAAACCTACCGCACCAGCTTTTTTGCTGTGCATCTTACGCTTGTCTGTGTATTGTTCCTTCCTCCCTTTTTACGGTTTTGATGCAAGCAGCATGGGTTTAGAGGAAGAGAGAATAACGGTAGAGCTTGAACAGAAGTGTCTGTGAGGTGGCAGGGCTGAGGTTGTCTGAATGGTTTCGCCTAAGTGGTTGCCTGTCTCTCAGGTCTGTTATTTCCTAGTACTGAAATCCCTCAAATTACTGTTTTAAAGAAATGTCATTTTCTTTTTTCAAATACTTTTTGTTGCAATATTTCAATAGGTGTTTCTCACACTTGCGTAGTTATGCGTGACTTGACTTTGGAAGGCAGTGGAGTTTTTTTCCTTTTCTTTCCCTGTGCAGTCTCAGGGCATGGACTTAAAATGCAAAGGAAAATTTATGGGGCATTATCTGGTTTCCTGTCCATTCACTAGCACACATTTCTTGTCCCGACTATTTTTCTTTCCTATGCTTTGCGTATGGCTGAACTAGAGATCTGTTAAAGAGGTCTGAGCTTTACGTCAAAGGAGTCTCATCAGCTCCAGAAAGGCCTAACGGAGAAAGTTTCATTAGTAGAGAATGTAATGTAGAGGTTAGCATTAAAGTACGGGTGACGTTGCTTTCTTTAAAAGAAGTCACCCATCCTTCCTACAAATTTTCCTTTTGATTCCACTTTTACACAATGCAAATCCTATCGGTTTTCCCATTCTCTGGTCTGTCTCGTGCTGCACTATGCTCCTTCGTTCTACCAAATCCTCCTTCCTGGAGCCACGAGAGGGAGCTCTCTTCTTTAAAATGATGGAGCTACCTTGGTCGGGAGATGGTGATAGAATAATAGCTATTTTAATCTTCAAATTTCAATTTGAATTTATAGATAAGACATGTGGGAACATTACAAGGTGCTTGGTCACTATCGTCTCTTCTTTACATGCTCGTCTGCTGGGCTACTTTGCGTTTTTCTTATGGTCAGTAGATTATGAATAAAATATTCAGAGTGTTTGGTTAAAAGCAGTGCAAAGTAACAATTGGAGAAGTCTAGCTTAGGACCATTATGGATCGTGGATCATAAATAGTAATTAGAGTAAGAGGTTGGTGAATTTCTTGTTGTGCACCTTCATGAATTGGGCTGTTGGGAAACCTTCCCAATGCTACCTTTGTACTTTCTCTTCAGCAGTTCGTGTTATCCCTTAAAGTTGTTCTTGTGTGTTGTCTTAAATTCTCCTCAGTCTCCTGTATCACATACTTGCAAAGGGTTTTTAATGTCTTTATACCTTAATACTAAGTATGCAAAATTGAAAGCTTGGAAATGCCTTATCTCCTCTCCTCCCCTACCTCCTGAAACCTAGTAGACTGACAGTCTGAAGTCTGCAGAACAGCAGCAAGTGTTTTTGTTAATAAGTGACATGGAACTAAATGCAATACTTCTTATGCAGTCCCCGTAGATGCAGTTCGTCATTCTTCTTCATTCCCTTTTCTTCATTCTTCATTGATTCATTCTTTCCTGTTCACTTTGCAGTTTCTGTATTAGTACGCTTTCACCAGCAGACTGCAATTGCTATAATTTAGTAGTCTTGCTTTGCCTGTTCCAGCTGAAAAACAAAGTGGATATATTCTGCTATAGTAGGAGCATCTTGACGTGAATGCTCAGAAGCCCTGGGAACACTAGGAACAGCCAAAATCTGATCTGCTTCCTCCTACTTCTACCTGGAGGTTGGAGCACCTGAAGTTTCTTGGGAGGCAGCTCAATGTGGAGAGGCAATGGCCATGGCTGTTCTCTGCTCTCTGGTGCTCGAGTGTTGCTTTTGACCTTAGTGGCACATCTGTGGCACATCTCCATGGCCCTTTCCAACGTTTTCAGTTTTACTTCCTCCCTAGCCACTAGCAAGCTGTCTGATACAGCTATGCCTCCTTTTTTCTTTCAGGACCCTACCTGAGACCTGGAAAGAAATGATCACGTTGCATTTATTTTCAGCAATTCTGTTTGCTGGGATGTATCTTTAAAATAGCAGATAACCTGAAGGATAGTGAAGTGACATCAGTTACCACAGTTGCCTGCTTTTGTGGATCATTTGCAGTCGGGTCTTCCTGTTTTAGTATGATCTTCCTATGTTTTGTGTTGTTTTGGTCCTTTTTCCCCAGAACAACTGCTAGTAGGGACTGAACTCTTCCATGCTTGCCTCCATTCTCCTCTTGATGCCATGTTCCTTGTCATCTTCTACCTTTTAGTGCATCTTTTGTTTCTTATTTTTTGTTTTTGTTCCTTTTTTTTTGTGAGTCATTCCTTTTAGTCTCAAGTTCCAGTCAGTGGAAAGGTAATTGCTTGGACCAGCTCAGCTCTATTTACATATTTTAGAGACATCACCTGTCCTTCAAGTCTACTCACTCTTCCCCCAGAACGGAGAATAATTTATGAAGCAGTTCTTTTGTGCTCTCTGTTCTTGAATAGAAACGTTTCATGCCGTCAGCAGACTGCTTTGGTCCTTATAGAGAGTGTATGTGTCCTGGCTGCTTCTCAGCTGGTACCTGCCTTCTTCCTGCTTTACTGGCAGCAACTGGTCCTTCTAACGTGTTCCTTTCTGTGGCTTTTGCTGATGAGCGTCTGAATTTGGCAAGGATATTCGTCTGTTCGCCCTGCCAGCCACCTATAGGCTATTGCCTATGTGCGTTCAGCTCTCCGGTCCCTCTCTTTCACACCCTGGTTCTGCAATACCTGTTGTTACGTTGCTGTTTTATAGTGTCAGCGCTGGTTTCTGGTGAGTTAGTCACAAACTGAAATCCAAATTTTTCAAAGCTCAGATTGGCATGAGGGTTTGCTGTGTCCACAGGCGCTGACTGTTCAGAGACAGGAGCAGGGGAGGACCTCTTTGTCTCGGTAGCGTTGTACAAACCTCCCTTCAACTGAGCTTATTCCACGGGGTGGGTGGGTAGAGCTGTGTATATCATGCTGCAGGGAGGCAGTTAGGAGCCGTTACTGATTGTTTCTTGTAACAAGGTGACTATGTGGCGTAGTGTAAACAGTGAAAATAAATAATAAAAAAAAGAGCGTCCAGATTTGCTCATCAGTGTTAGCCTTCCGTTTGCTGATTACGGTTTTGGCATCTCTTGATTCTAAATATTTCCTTTTGCTCTCTCTTACATTGCAAATTTAGCAGTGTCAGTCACAGCAACTTGTCCCCGTACTAAATTCCGTGGCATCCTTCCCCAGCCCTTACAGCAGCCTTCTGTCTGCCTGCTTTGACCACTGAAATTCATGGGAGGGCTTAACGGTTTTCTACCTGTATTTAAAAAAAGATGCTTTAACTTAGGCGCGACGAGCTTATGAATAGGGTTCCCCACAGATGCGCAAAGTGAGATTTCTCCTGTGTAACAGGGAAGCTGCATCTTGGGAATCTGAACAGGACAGACACATCTCTAAGGGAGAGCAGAAAGAGAGCTTGAGTTCAAGGAAAATAGACATTCGCCAAACATCTTTCCTGAGCTCTTAGCGGTTTGAAATGCCAGT